CCACACGGAGGCGTGCCTGCTGTGCTCTCTTTGAACCCATCCTGACCTGCAGGGAGATTTGTTTTTACCAGATTTAGCAGTAACAGCAATTTATATTCCGACTGTGGCCGTGGCTTTTTTGCCTACCCTTGTATGGTGCAACCATAGTTTCAGTTTTATGCAGGTAGTAGCAAAAAAGTAGTTGTTCTGTGCTGAATGAGGTATTTATTTAATTCAATGCAATGTGTAGTGTTGAGAATTACGCGTCCGGCGGGATGGTCTTGAGAGTTGGGGACAAGGGATTCGGCAGAGGAGCTCAGGTGTGAGGTGATCAGAGATGGGGACAGGCTGGCCTGGAGACCTCATGGTGACAAACAACTCAGGAATGCTCAAGAGTTGGTAAAAAAAGGTTTGGGGGTGACAAAGAGATCAAAGAACAAGTACCGTGTTCAGGGGAACTGCGTGTGTCGTGGACTTGCAGAACAATGAAGAGAAAGCAAAGTGCAAAACATGTTGTCAAACGTCAGAAAAATACAAAGGGGACCCCAGAGCGAGTAAGAAGAGGCCACGAACATCAATATCATACTCCCTGTGAAGGACTCCAGATTTTGATGATTTGATGAAACATCCACAACCAAACCGAAGTCACCTACCTTAGCACCCAGAGGAGCGCTGAAAGGGTGAGCGTGACCCCAAGGAAGAGACAGAAACTGGAAAGTGTGTGTATAAAACTATTAAATTATTATTATTACTACTATTACTGCTGCTTTTCTGTAGGTAAATATTTTTTTCTCTAATAATAAACAATGGCTCTTGTATTAGTCCGTTTGCAATTACACTAAGAATTAATTCTCGGCTTTATACATAAAGTACATTTGTTTTTCACCCATAAATGAGAATTTGATCAGACCATTAGACACATCCCTTTGTCAGCGGCTGTGGGAAGCCTCCTAGGACACCCTCAGGCACTGCAATGAGTTCTGTGCTCTCCAGTGGCACGGAGCAATGACGATGTGTAGGCGACAGCATTGAGCTGATGCAGACCCCGAGGTCTCTCCAGAGCAGTTACCCAGCAGCTGCTCACCCAAATCCGACCCCAGGGAAGAAGCATCCAAAGCAGCTCCATCCCAGAACCTGCGGATAGGCTGTACAAGGAAAATCCATTGGATGGAGCCAATGCAGATGCACCCTGTTCCATAGGAGGATCTGGGCAGGATTCCAGTGAGAGGGAGAGAGTTTCCCCATTTCATGCACTGTCAGGTGTACAAGTGCCCCTTGCAAAGACAAGGTCTACAGGTTCACCTGCAACACATGAAAAGGCTCTCTGGAAAGATCAAGGGATCTGCATGGCCGTGAACATGGTATCTCTTTGGGGAAGAGTGGCAGAAAACATAGTAAAGGGCTGGATCCACAGGCAGGTGGTTAAGTATTCCATAGGGGAAAGCACTTTAGTTTCAGCCAAAATAACTTTCACATTAATTTGTTGTAATACAGATTTAAATTTAACCTTTAAAACTTACTTCATTAATAAGCAAGCCAAGCTCAGTAGCTTCAGTGCCGGAGGTACTTCATGTAACTTGCTGCACATTCATGTTAGTTTGATGTACATGGAGAAGAGACCGGTCAACTATACAATTCATAAGAGAAAGCAAAAATAAGCACCATTTTTACCAAACTAACCAGTTTTCAGTGCAGTGTTTCTTACAGCACGGCTCTTCTCCTGTCAGGCAAGGCTCCCTAACAGACTTCAAGGGCTGAGAAGGATTCTGGCTGGGGCAGACCCAGGTGACAGAGTCTACCCGGCTTCCCAAGGGGTCTGAGCAAGGTCCCCACTGAAGGATCATAGACTCATTTAGGTTGGAAAAGACCTTCAAGATCATCAAGTCCAACCGTTATCTAACTCTCCCGGGCCCAATTCTAAACTATGTCCCTGAGCACCACGTCTGAATGGCTTTTAAATACATCCAAGAGTAGAGATTCAGCCACTTCCCTGGGCAGCCTGTCCCAGTCTTTGATAACGAAGATCATCAAATAAGCAGCCACAAAATGAGAGTAAAGTTTCACAAACCACTGAATGATTGAATCACAAAATAAAGGTTCATGTCTGTCCTTTCCAGTGAAGCCCTACAGGAATCTGGACCAGAATTTCCTCTTTTCAACAAATTTTGTTGGGAAAAACAGCAAATCTAACAAGTTTCTGATGATATCAAATTACTCCAGGAACAGAAGGACCAGCAAAAATCTGCAGGAGATCCTGATAAAACTGAGTCATTGAGCAATAAAAAAAACAGATTAAAAAAAACCTCAACAGTTCAGACAAACTTCCAGTGATGCACTGGGGGAAAAGACAGAACACTTCAGACAGACAATGACAGGCTGGTGACTAACAATAACCTCCCAGGAACAAGCTGTCAAAGCTGTGAGAGTGTTACCAGAACACAGTTCAGTGAGCAGCAGTTCCGAAGACAAACCAGATATTACAAATTCCTAGGCAGGACCAGAAAACAAGGCCAGGACCACGCTGCGCATCCAAAACGCTGCTGCGGCCCCGGCGCCTCGGGGAGCACAAGGCTTGTCACGGGAAACGAGTGAGTGGAGAGCGGCTGCGGCTGAAAGAGGCAGCCAAGGGAAGAAATGACAGAGGTGCCAAAGGCTCAGAGATGGGCGGGGGAGGATCTGCTCCTTGTCACTTCCAACGTGAGAGCTAGAAGCACGAGGAATTAAAACAGCAGACCTCAGGTTCAGAGCGAACAAGGTCATTATTCATGCAGCACGTCATTAGACTGTGGGACTCTCTAAACCAGGGTCTCCTGGAGCCTCAAGTGTTCGTGCATCAAAGTTAGGAAGATGAGCTCCTTAGGCAAGGGGTCTCGTCACCAGAACATCAGTGATGTGCGCAAAGAAAAGAGCAAAACAGCCCCCAAGGCTCTTCCTGGAGGAGCAGCTGAGGGTTTTGCCAGGGGTCTTGCAAACAAATCCTGTAACTTCTGTCTTTGGTTACTGTTCTCAGCTTTGTTGGGAAGAACAGCAAAGCTGACAAGTTTCTGATGATATGAAAATACTCCAGGAAGAGGAGGACCAGCAAAAATCTGCAGGAGATCCTGATAAAACTGAGTCATTCAGCAACAAGGTGCACTGTTGAGGGGGTTTTGTGTGTGTGAGTGTGTGTTGGGAGTTATTATTCTTCCTTCTGAGACAATTGCACTTATTCCTGATTGTCATGTTTTTGTGACAAGCATCAGCCCTTTTGCATTTACTCGTGACGTGTGGCAGAACCTTGGATGTGTCCTTCCCTTGGCTCTTTTATCTCACGCAGCGGCACAAATCAAAACTGCCCCGTGCAAGGGGAGTAGAAGAAAAAGGGTTGTTAGGAATGGCTAAGGCTGATAAGAAAAAAACACTAGACCACTTCCCAGGCGCGAGGGTGTTTCTTGTGAAAGAGGCTGGACAGGCTGGTTGTCAGCAAAACAGCTGCTCCTAAGGCAACGAACTCTTGCAGAAGTTAAACCTCGTTAAACTTATTAAGAAGGTACTTTCAAGTGCCAGCACCTGCGTTAGACGGCTTTCCTATTAAAGCTGACCTGGGAAGCTGCTGCAGTGAGTGTTTCCAAGGCATCGTAAAGAGTTTAGAGGCTGGCTGGGCTGGTAAGATTGATACAAGGGTTTTGGGGGTGGTTTTTTGTTGTTTATACGGAGCAATGATGCTAGTTAACTACTTCCTAGCCCTCAGATTTATGTGTCTGCTTCCTTAGCTCTGTAATTACTGTCTTCTGTGTTGTTTCATGTTATTTTAATGCTGTAAATGGTTTGTCTTGGCCCTGTGGTTTGCAAAGTGCTTCTTAAAACGTGATTTGTCTAGGCCCTTATGCTGTATTGACAAGGAGTGTGAGGAGGTGCTGGAGTGTCTTTGTTGTTTGCTTTGTTGTTTGTTTTTTTTCTTGGGTGTTCTTTTTTGGCAGGGTTTTTGTTTGTTCTAGTAAACTGTCAGGAAGGTTCTATCTGCCTCTGTGTGGGCAGAGGAGGCTGAGGTGAGGTGTCTGTTATTGCTCATGTCAGGTCTTCTTTGGAAACCTCGTTTGTGGATCTCTAAAGGTCCAGGTGCAGATAAACCAAAGGAAGTGCCTTCCTCTCAGTTTCTCCCTTAGCATATTCCTGAAGGTGAGGTCCACACAAGGGGTCAGTGTGTCAGAAGAATTATCCCCAGCTTGAGGGGATGCCCCAACTAGCCACATCTGCTTTCGGGAGGGCTGGCAGCTGAAAGCTCCGTGCTGGAGCGCTGGGCTGGCTGGATGCACGAGGACCCGGTTTGAGTGGGTCTTGCAGCATCCCCTTCCCGATCATGATACTTGAGGTTAACTGGTCAACAGCCCAAGCACCAAGAGGGCTGCCTGTCCCGACACAGTGTTGTCCAGAGGATAACATCTACGAAGAGCAGGCTGAGGGGAGATCTCATCATGCTCTACAATTACTTGAAAGGACATTGTAGAGAGGTTGGTGCTGGTCTCTTCTCACAGGGAATTAGGGACAGAACCAGGGGGAATGGTTGCAACTTGCAACAGGGCAGGTTTAGGCTGGACATTAGGAAGAAATTCTTCACAGAAAGAGTGGTCAGACCCTGGAACAGACTGCCTGGGGAGGGGGTTAAGTCGCCATCCCTGGATGTGTTCAAGTGTTGTTTAGATGTGGTGTTGGGTGAGATGGTTTAGGGGTGAACTTGTAGTGCAGGGTCAATGGTTGGACTTGATGATCCCAAGGGTCTTTTCCAACCTGAACTGTTCTATGATTCTATGATTCTACCTGACCTCTCAGTCTTGTTTGGAGGGTGTGACAGACATGACATCTCACTTGTGTCCTTGCTGTGAATTGCCAACGGTCTGCTGATGTGTCCTCAGGAGTGGCTGGCCCTCACAGCACCCCATTCACTGCTGCTTGTTGGAAAGCCCCTCCTGTGCTGTCCCCTTTCTGCACAGCTCCATTGCCCTCCAGCTCCTTGATCCAATCCAACCGGGCTGGCCGTGGGGATGGCAGTGGGGCAGGTGCTGCTGCTGCTGTTGGCCGCCTGCACGGTGATGCCTGCGAAGGACCCGCTGCTGAACGTCTGCATGGATGCCAAACACCACAAAACCAAGCCTGGTCCAGAGGGGATGCTGCATGAGCAGGTAAGGCTTCCCTGCTGGATTAGGAGGGGTTGTTGGGTCCCTTCTACCCCCTCCCCAGATCACATGAACTGGTTTGTGCTTTGGTCTTAGCAACCACTTGCCTGAAGAGGAAAGCCTGTGCTGGATGTGAAGCCTGCCTGCTGCTTTCTTCTGGCAGATAGCTAGGGCAGATGCAGAGGTGTGAGGATTTCTGTCAGCTCAGTGTCACCCTTGAACCAGGAGACCTCCCCTTCCCAAAGCTTAGATACCCCAGATGAGAACGAGGTAAAGGATGGCAAAGAAAAACACTTCTATCTGCTTCCTCTCCTGGTGTTAGAGATGCTTCTTGCCAATGGAAGACCTCTGCCACCAAGTCCTTGATGGGGACAGGGCTAAGAGCAAGCGAGGGTGTGAGAGAAAGGGGTTTGTTTCTATTCCTCAGGCTGGCACTAATTCCTGGTGAGGCTCTGACCTCCTCCAACTCCTCCTTGCTGCAGCCCTGAACTCTTCTGTCCAAAGTGCCCAAATGTTTGCTGAAGGAGGGAAAATCCTCTTGCTGCTGTAGGCTTTGCAGGGAGCTGGTACTCGCAACATCCTCCAGGTCCCTTTTGCTGCTGCCTGCCCTCCCTGCCCAGCTTGTCTCTTGCTCTGCTGTAGTGCGCTCCCTGGAAGGACAATGCCTGCTGCACAGCCAACACCAGTTCAGAAGCCCACAAGGACCAGTCCAACCTGTACAACTTCAACTGGAACCATTGTGGGGTGATGCCATCCAAGTGCAAGCGCCACTTCATCCAGGACACGTGTTTGTACGAGTGCTCGCCCAACCTGGGGCCCTGGATTGACCAGGTAGGATTGGATCTACTGTGATTAAGATAATGGGGTTTGTGCTGGCCAAGGGGTAGGTTATGTACTGCTCCCTCCACCACAGCAGAGCCTGGCATGTATGGCAGCGTGCTCTCCAGCAGCACTGCTGACTTTCCTGGTGGGTGGGAAGATCCAGAGGACTTTGCCAGCCCCTGTGTAGGTAGTCAGACAAGCTGGTGAAAGAACTGCTTGTTGTCTCTGCTGGGATTGAAACTCTTCTGAGATCGCTCTGGACCACAATGGAACACACTGGGGGAAGACTCTGTGGTGTGGCAGATCCTGCCCCTTGGCTTTCAAGGGCCACCACCGGTGGGCACAGCCCTGTTCCCTTGCAGGCTGACAGCAGCTGGCGTCGGGAGAGGATTCTTCATGTACCACTCTGCAAAGAGGACTGTGAGGAGTGGTGGGAGGATTGCAAGGACTATGTCACGTGCAAAGAGAACTGGCACAAGGGCTGGAACTGGGCAACAGGTTGGTGGGCTCTGGGGAAGAAGCCTTTCCTCACCCCTGGCAGCATCACTGCTGCCTTCCCTGTGGCTGGAGGC